GGAGGAGGAGGAGGAGGAGGAGGAGGAGGAGGAAGAAGAAGAAGAGGAAGAGGAGGAGGAGGAGGAGAGGATGTGCGGGGGAGGGGACTTTATGGCGTCAACTTGTGTAAATGATGTAACTGTGGTTGGTGTGATGTGTGGTGTTGTACTATTATTGTTATTTTTGTTGTAACATGCTGCTCGCTCTGTCCCAAAGAAAGTGAACGTTGGAAATTTCTTCGAGAATTTCATCAGGTCGATACTTTTTTCCTATCAACAATACCTGTGAACACATTTCCTGACATCATTTATGTTGATGATAGTTTGTCAGTCTTAAGGCCAATTCATGTCAAAAATAATAGCTCGAGACAGTGTAGCACGATCCCTATCGCGTTCTCTGGGCATTAACTCCTCACTGCGAGTCTCTTATTGGACAAACTAAGGAGGACGGTCAGCGGCAGACAGGATCAGGCAGAGTTACCAGAGGCGAGCTTCCCCTCCCCAACACCAGGCCGGGTGCGTTTGAGCAGGTTGGGGGCAACTTGGGGGCCGAACTAACTTGGTGACTAATCAGAAATGGCAGCGCCGCGCCGTGTCGGACTGTCTGGGGCAGGAGACGTGCCTCAGACTGCGTGCCCGAGTAAGGCAGACAAGCACATCACATGTGGGGCAAAATGTAGTTCGGAAACCCGTTCTTTTTTTCTTTTCTTTTTTTGTAATTTCCCTCGCACCTGCTGCACTTATATCGCGCTTTTGCTCTGTCGTTGCGGGCTTTTTTTGCCTCTTCTCCTCGGATATAGCGCGTCCCTTTTCATCCCCACGCGCGCCTGCATTTTGCCACCAAAACGGCGAGGCCACACTCGGGAGGTATGAATGGAAAAGGGGGCCGTCGGAATAGAGCAGCACACTGCACTCGTCGAGCAGCGCGGCCTCACTAACTAGCGAAAGAAAGAAATAGTGGCGCGATACGGTTTTGCGACCCATATGATGGCAGCAGTTCGTCAGAGAGCGCGGAAAACTAGCGCGCGCGCGCAACCACGCACACCTACACACTTTCCCTGCTTCCCCCCGTGTGGCAGCGCCTGGCAGCGCCACGCAGTCAAAGGCTTATGCCCCGACGCGAGTAGTAGTTGGAATCTGCACTGCTTTTAGGGCATATGATGACACGCTGTGCCGGGTCTCGTTTTGCGTTGGCGCACACACGGACCCACCAAACCACACACGCGCGCGCGCGCGCCGTGCACCGCACAAAGCCCCCGCCGGCTAATCAGTGGCAGTACGAACTGATGTGCCTCGCAGCCGCTCGCGGCAGCGGCGCTTACTTCGCTTTGGTGTATGCTCCGTGCTCGCTGACGCTTCGCTTTGTGCCGGCGAGGATCATGCCATGCCGGGTACACTGCGACGAGAAGAAGGGCGCGGCCCGGTGGGGGACGGCACTTTGCCAAGGGGATAGGGACGACGATGTAGCGAGAATACAAAACGCGGCGCGCTTTGGTTTTGATGGAGGCTGCTTGCTGGGGTCTAAGACAGACAGAGTGTGGGGGCAGGCGGGTATGGTTTAGGACGCGGCGAAAACAAGGGTGCGACCGTAACGGGGTGATTGGTTCATAATGGCGGCAGGTTAAGTGTCATTGAGTGTATGAGTGCGTCTCTCTCGCTCTCCCTCTGCCTCTCGGC